GGGGCGTTTTGGGAGAAAAAAAAAAAAAAAAAAAAAAAAAAAAATTTGGAAGATCTTCCTAGCTGTTTCCTAATCCTTTCTCCCTCACCCTGTTCCATGTAGTTCTGTTGGGATATGTCCTTGTCGTGATATTTCCCCTTGGGTTTCTCCTCTAGCAGATGCCCTCTTGCAGCCGACACCCTTGGGGCTGACCCTGCCTGTGTTTGGGTGATTGTCTGTGGTTTTGTGGTCTTTGCCACGCATTGGTGGGCGCCTGTTGTCACCACCCTGAACCACGTCTGTGTCTGAAGCAGCTCTAGGGCCTGTGATACCTCATGGGGTGCCATCTGGGGGCAGGGAGTGCTCGTGCCCTGGTGGTCGCTGGTCCCCATGCCAGCTCCTCAGCGTGGTAGGTGGGAGCTGCCTCTTCTTGGCAGTGCCAAGGATGGACAACTGGTCCATCCAATGGTCCTACCAAGGAGGACGCTGCCTACCCTTGAGGGGAACAAGAGAGAGATGTTTCATTGGGCTCCTTGACTGAATGCTGTGGTCCCTGTCACCCTGCCTTGCGCGGACTGAAGAGCGGCTTCACAAGTGGAGATGGGGAGGGGTGGGAGGGTTGATAAGCTTGATTTTTAGCTCAGGTTTTTTAGGGATATCTCTGCCAAATTCCCGCCCTGTAGTTAAAGCTAGGCAATGTTGGAAGGGAGGGAGGTGGGTAGCAAGTCAACCCATCCCCCTTCCTCTCTCCTGGGTGGAAGTTGTCCTCTCCTCTGTGGTGGATGCTTTCGTAGTGACCCGTGCCGTGGCTTTCTGTTACTCCCCTTGTTGATGTGCACGTCAAGGACGCTGCCGGGATGGGCTGCGACCCGAGCACGCTCCCCCAACCACCAACCCTTCTCCCCTTCTCGTTGCAGAACATGAACAACTCGCAGAAGCCGTCGTGACTCCGTTGGCGCTGTCGCGAGGCCACCGACGGCGGCGACGCCAGCTTCCTATCCCACCGCCATTTCCGAAGCTTGCTTATTGAACCGGTCTCCTCCGTCTGCGGCGAGGGCGACCCTCGGCTGTTTCCACCCGCGCCCGTTCATCTGCCAACCGCTCTGCTCAAGTGGGGGGAAGAGATGCGGGAGAGCAGAAGAGTAGGAGCCGAGCTCCCCGCGGAGTCACCACCGGATCTTTGAAAGCTGCAGCATTCGCTCTCCTCTCCGGCATCCTGTTAGATCGTAGCGAGCTGTAAAGTGCTTCTAGCGCACAGGAGTTTTAATTTTTTCCCCTGTTAAAAGCAGTTTTGATCTCCTTTTGTATAGACGATTGGTACTCACCCAGCTCTGGGTGGGATTTGTATATATGTGGATGGCGCGGGTTTAGCAGAGAAATAGGGGGAAGGGGGGGGGAGCGGAGGGGTTTTGCATATTTTTTTTAATTCCTATTATTATTGTTATTCATTACTTTTCAAGAAAGCCCCTAACACGCTGTGCTGCAGTCCTTTACCCACGCTCCAGCCTGTTGCACACGCACAGCCCGGCTCACCCAAGCCCACGAGCACTGGGAAAGCAGTTGCGTCAAGTCTTCTGCAGCGAGATCTGCTGGGTTTAACCAAAAAAAACCAACCAAAACCTTCTAAAATGGAAACTGTGGGTTATTTTCCTCTTTTTCTTGAATTCACCTTAAAAGGGGTTTGCAGAGAATATAGAGCTGCTTCTAAAACCAGACACGAGCTGCCTGTAGTGTAGGAGAAACTGTGCAGGTGGTGGCTTGGGTGATGTTTTCATCTTGGGGAGTTCAAGTGTGTGTTGATTTTTTTTTTATTTTTTTTTTTAAGGGGGACTGAGCACCAATTAGGGTGCTGTGCTGGTACTTCATCTCCCTTTGCCTCTGTCTTAGAGGAAAGTGGGGATTTTATTTTATTATTTTTTTTAATTATTCTGTTTTGAGGGAGGGTTGAATCCCTGCATCGGTCAGGTGGACATGAGCAGGATGCGTTTTGCCGGTCTCGTGGAGGTGGCCAGAGATCTGGCTGGGTTGCGGGAGTCCCTGTGTGGCTGCAAAAAGCCACACGAAGGGACAGTTTTGTCTGTGTTTCTTTTTTTATTTAATACATATATACATGCATACATATGTGTGTGTGTGTGTGTATACCTAGAAACCGCTTGGTTTTTGCACTTTATCTGGGGCAGGAGCATAACTATTTTAATTTTTTTATTATTTTTGAGTCATGTCCCTTAGCAGGGGAGGCCTGAATACAGGCATCTTTTTTTATTTTGCATGCTGGAAAGCTGAGACTACAACATAACAAAAAAAAATGTAGTTAACAGCTTTAGAGGTGTGTGGGGTGGGGGGGGAACTGGATTGAGGTCCTGACTTAGGCTCCAACAGCCAGCTCTCAGTGGTTTATTATGAGATCCCTTCTTGGCAGCCTGCAAGACAGGGATTCAAAAAACAGCAATTAACCACTATTGCTTTATGCAAAAGTCTGTGGATTTTGATTTTTTTTTTTTAGTTATTTTCTTAGCTTTTGGGGTTGTGGGTTTTTTTTTCCCCTCTGTATGTGCAGCATCTCCTCCATGCCCATTTCATGCTTTATTTTTTTTATTATTTTTTTTAGTATGTGTATAGGGGTTTTTTTAGGAGGGAGGAGGGAAGGGGGTTTAATCTCTTTTTTTTTTTTTTCTTTGGGGAAAAGGCGAACCACAGTGCCTAGCGCTTCAGCCTCGTGCAGCCAAAGTGTGCGCCCGGAGCGACGCCAATGGCGGGAGGGATCTGGGACCGCGCTCGGTCCAAATCCAGCCGGGGCAGACGGGCTCGGCAGTGCCCTGCCTGTGTGAGCTCTTGTTTGTGTATTATATTCCTGTACAGATGAAACCAAGGACACTTTCCTCCCCTCCTTTTTATTTTTTTAATTTTTTTTTGGTAACCACATTAAAAGCACGCATCTCCCTGTGCGTGCGGTTGACATCTGCCCTTTTCGGTTTCTTCGACTTGGAGGAAAAAAAAGAACCAAACCAAAATACAAATGTTTTAGGAAGGCGAGTCGCTTGCTTGCCTTTTCAGCCTCCTTCCTGAGGAGTTTTATCTTTCCCCTCCTGCTACGAAAAGATAAGCCCCAGCAAAGGCAGACGTGACGTCTGGCTGCCTCGAGATCAATCCTGTACACATGTAATTCTGCAGATGTTTTGGTGTGTATTTTGTGTGTATATATATATAAAATAAAAAATATATATATATTGGACAGCAGACAAAAATGGATTGACTCTAAACTTTTTTTCCTTTGGGATTAAGAGAAGTCTCAGCA